TTTTCCTTGCCTTTTCCTGTGTTATGCTGCTGTGTTGGCAATCATGGCTTATAACTTCAGCATTTCACTCTCTGCCTCTCTTAGTACATGGCATTATCCCATTGTAGATCTGTCTCCTCTGTAAAAGCACCAGTCAGATTGGATAAGGGGTCCACCCTACTTCAATATGAACTCACCCTCACTCATGACATCTACCATGACTCTGAAGTCAGATTTAAAGTTAGGTAGTCAGTGTAGTTAGGTAAATCGGGTCTAATATCGAGTGAAATCTAAAATGGAGGCCGTGCGGAGAATGACTCAGGGAAAACACAGGACAACTCATGGAATGTTAATGAAGTCCCGAAAAGGCCCTAGGCCAAAGTCCACCTCAAAGAAATGTTAATGAACAGCCCCCAGCAAAAAGGTGCTGACTCAGAAGTCCTTCCTGACCAGATTACTTCTTTGGCCCACCTGTGTCCCACCCCTCGGGCCTTCCAACCTACATTCCATCACCAAAACTATAAAAAGGGGAGACAACATCCCTTCCACGGATTCCACCTCTTGGGTCCCCTTCTTCCTCCGGGAGAAGTCTTTTCTGCTGTCCTTTAATAAACTTCTAATTTCTACTCTGACCTTGCCTCGGCGTGCTTCTTTGGTGTTATTCTTCAACATTGGGGAAGCAAGAACTCGTCACCGGTCAACAGCGGTAACAACTCCAATTTCAAATAAGTTTTCAAATTTGCATTCTGATATACTGGAGTTAGATCTCTGTGTTAACATATATTGGGGATTGGGGAACATAATTTGACCAACACCACAACTCTACAATTCCTTACTTATATTATTCCAGCTAGATTGGTCAAATATACATAAAGGGGTGTTGAACACTTCCATTGTAATAGTCTTTTAATTTAGTTCTCATTGAGGTTCATCCATTTTTGTCTCAAAAAAATTGATGCTTTGCTGTTAGGCATGTACACACAAAGGGTCCTGATGGGTTCTTTGAGAATCTGTCCCTGTATCATTATAAAATGCTTCACTTTTTCCCTAATCATCACCTTGTCTTCAGGACTGCTTAGACTAGAATCAATTTAGTTACCTCTACTCTTTGTGTAATCTGCATCAGCACGCTGGATCTCCTTCCATATTTTAATTTCAATCTATTATAATATGAGTGAGATTTTTAGAGACAACACCTCGTTGAGTATTATTTTTATGCATTCTTCCAGCCCTGTCTTTTAATTAGTGTAGATAGATCATTCCCATTTAAGGTAATTTTCAATATAGTTGAATGAATATCTACATGCTTATAATTGGTATTTATATACAATATATCCTTTACAGCTTTCTTTAAAAATTCCATTCCTCTTTTATTGCCTTCTCTGATTTATTTGAGCATACTACTTCAGTTTCTTATTTTAAAATAACAATTACAATTCTTTCTGTTTTTTGTTTATTTGTTTGTTTTTTTGTTTTGCTTTGGTAAACTGACCACCTTTGAGTCTTTCATTGACACACATGGTTCAAGGACTAATGGGGAACTAAAATTTCCTCCTTCCTATCTTTTGCAACAATGCTGTCATTCATTTCATCTTCCCATGCTCTATAATTGCCCAATTTATTGTTGTTATTTGTTTGAACACACTGATATCTTTACATCAAGTATTCTTACTTGATGAAAAGTAAAGACAGTGTATTTTTAAAAGCTTTTATTCCTTCTCTGATGATATTCCTTTTCCAATGTAGTTCTTAACTGAATATGACATTTTCCTTCTCTCCAAAGACTTTCTTATAAAGCAGGTCTACCAGTGGCAGATTTCTTTAGTTTTGGCCTAAGAAGATCTTCACTTTTCCATCCCTTCTGAAACACAATTTCATGGGACACCGAATTCTAGGTGTGTAGAGGTATTTTTCTTTTAATATTGTAAAAACTTTAATCCATACTCTCTTCTTGCTTGCATCATTTATGATAAGTCTGATATAACTCTTATCGCTTCTTCTATACATGAAAGCATATTTTCTTTTTTTAATATTTATTTTTAAGTTTTAGGTGGACACAATATCTTTATTTTATATTTATGTGGTGCTGAGGATCGAACCCAGTGTCTCTTGCATGTTAGGCAAGCACTTTACCGCTGCCACAACTTCAGCCCCATGAAAGCATATTTTCTTATTTCAAATTTTCTCTTTTCTGGTTTTCAGCAGTTGAATATGACATACCTATGTGAAGATTTTTTGGATTGATTTTAGCATTTATCCTACTTAACTCCCCAAACTTCCTGTAACTGTTTTTTTGTTGTTGTCTGTCCCTGATGTAGGACAATCCTTAACTGTGATTACCTGAAATATTTCTTATTTGCCTTTTTCCTCCTGCCCCTTCTACTATTTTTTTTTCTCTTATTCCCAATATACATACATTTTGTGTACTGTGTATATATTTTGTGATTGCCCCACTATTCTTGGATATTCTGTACTTTATTTTCCTTTGTCATTTGAAAATTTTCCATTGACATATTTTAAGCTCACTTATCATATTTTAAGCTCATCTATGTTTAGGGTACAGATGAGTCCCTTTGAGTCATTCCTCATTTACATAACAGTGTATTTGATTTCTACCTCCTCCTTTTGATTTTTTTTTTAGAACTTCCCTCTCACAGCTTACATTGGTAATCTTCTAGAGAGAACTTAACATCATTATTTTCAATTTTCTGTTTGAAAATTCCCAAACCGGTGTTATTTGTGACTCTGGTTCTGACACTTGCTTACTCTCAACCTACTTTTTTTTTTTCCTTGTCTTTACCATGCCTTAAAATTTGGGGTTGAAATCCATATATGAAGAAACAGGTTATAGAACGGAGTTGATTCAGCTTTAAGTGTGAGATTTTAAATAAATCTGTCCAGAAGCCTGGAAGTTTGTTTTGCTGTTACTGTAGGTGACTAAGGATTCATTTTCTCTAGTTGCTTTGTTTCTTTACTTTACTTCTCCCAAAGTTTTAGGTTTTCCTCAAGCACTCTTTTCTAAGCAGAGTTTGTATATTTCTGTCTCTCAGTTATGATTCACATTGTTACATTGAATCCCTGTTAATGTGGTGGTAAGAGGAAGGAGGAGTGAAGGGTTCCACATAATCTTATGATAAAATCTTGTATTTTTTAGTGCACCTCTTTTGCTAGTGTATGGGCTTGGGAAGTGTATTTAGCCCTGTTTTTACCCCTTACTGGAGTTGTACATGGGTAATTTTTCACTTTCTTTTCTGTTACTAATGACCAAAATGTTTTTAATTTTAATGAAATCCAATTTATCCCATTCTTTTTATTTTTCTGCTCAAGCATTTAGTGTCATATCAAACAATTCAAGGTCTCAATGTCTTACCCCTATTAATCCTTTTTTCAGAATCTTCTGTTTTAGTTTCGCTACTCAGGCTTTTGATCCACTTGCAGTTAAGTTTCATACACAGTATAAAGTAAAGATCTAACTTTATTTTTTTGCATGTGGGAATCCAGTTGTTATATTATTTGTTGAAGAGAGTGTTCTTTCCCTATTTCAATGGCTTGTTAAAAATTAGTTGTCTGGGGGCTAGGATTGTGGCTCAGTGGTAGAGCGCTCGTCTGGCACGTGCGAGGCCCTGGGTTCAATCCTCAGCACCACATAAAAATAAAATATTTAAAATATTTTGACAATTACAACTAAAAAATAAATATTAAAAAAAGTAGCTATCTGCAGATGTGGCCATTTAGTACTCAACTCTCAAATTTACCTCATTGCTTTCTGTGTCTATCCTTATGTTAGTACCAACTATTTGAATTAATGTAGCTCTATAGTAAATGTTGAAATTAGAAATTTTGTGTCCTCCAAATTTTTTTTCAAGATTACTATGGCTATTAATAGTCCCTTTGGATTCCATGTTAATTTCTTTCTCTCTCTCTCTCTCTCTCTCTCTCTCTCTCTCTCTCTCTCTCTTTCTTTCTTTCTCTCTCTTTCTTTCTTTCTTTTTTCTTTTTTTGGTACTCAGGATTGAACTGAGGAGCACTCAACCACTGAGCAACATCCCCAGCTCTTTTTTGTGTTTTATTTAGAGACAGGGTCTCACTGAGTTGCTTAGTGCCTCACTTTCTGCTGAGGCTGGCTTTGAACTCGAAATCCTCCTGCCTCAGCCTCCTGAGTTTCTGGTATTACAAGCACATGCCACCATGCCCAGCCTGGATTCCATGTTAATTTCTAGACTTCTCTTTACATAAAGAGTATGTTGAAATATTAAGAAACATTTTCTATCTCTGTAGAATAATTTTCTGTGATATTGACATTGTAATTGTATTACATATTTCCATTTACGAACACACATTCACTAACATTTACTAACGTTGTCTTTTCTTTCAGTAATAATTTCAGGAAATATACATAGTTTTCTTTTCCTAATTAAATTTATTCCTACATCTGTTATTATTTTAGATGTTATCATAAATAAAGTTCCTATCTTAAAGTCATTTTTTGCTGATATATATTGACAAAGTGATTTTGCCTTGATCTTCTACACTGCAACTTTGTCAAATTTAGTCACTTGTTCTGAGATGTCTAATGGAGTCTCTGGGAATTTTGATGCATGGTATCATGTCCTTTGTGAATACAAATAATGCATGGTATCATGTCCTTTGTGAATAGAAATAATCTCATTGTCTCCCATCAGAATTGAATGCTTTTTAAAATGGTTCTTTTCTAATTGCTCCAACTAGAATTTTCATTCCAGTGATTAATAGCAATAAGGAAAGTAGATATCTTTGTTTTACTGCTGATTATGTAGAAAGTTTTCAGGACTCAAAGCCACTAAAAATATATTCATACTTTCAAGTGATTAAAATACACTGGGTTTGATTCTCAGCATCACATATAAATAAATAAATAAATAAATAGATAGATAAATAAATAAAGTTTCATTGACAAATTTTTTAAAAAAAGATTAAATTGTGTATATTTAACCAGAAAAAAACTTTTAAGTCATATCAAATATAAGATCAATGCAGTCCAGCAGATGTAGATGCACAGAGGCCAAATATTTTCACAAAATTTAGAGATAAGTAAGGAATTACTTGGCTTTCAGAATAGACAGGAAGAATGACAAGACATCAACATTTAATTATATAGTGCATTTCAGCATGAACCTATTTGTAAGTGAACTATTTTGGATTGATTAGTCATAGTACACTACAAAGCCAAGGCTCTATTCATTCCCATTCCACTCTATTTTCTCCCTTCACCCAGTAAGGATCACATTCCAGCAGAAACTCAGTCTCTGTTGTTAATCAACCATCACTCCATACCAAGAAAGTTCCTTGAGAGTCATCCTTAACACACTCCAATGTACTCAGTCCATTCTGTGTTCTTCTAGCTCCTGTGGAGGTCCTGGTGGAGGATCTAGTAAGTTCCAAGGTAAAGGTAAGGTAAGGTTTCCTTATAGACATTTTTTTTTTTTTTCAGTCAACTTCAGACACAAAAATCTGATTAAATACAATACAGATGACCTAAACAATTTTCTTTGCTAAGGAATGTCAATGACCAGTATATTAGCAACTATTACCTGACTCCAGATGGCATTTATGTAAGATGGCATCAGTTATAGACTGTATGGTAGTGAGAATTTCCCTCAGTAAATGCTTTTCTGGTTGATAAGAAATTTTGTACATGCCAACCAGAAGAAACTTGAGAATCCTTCCATGCAAAGATCATGTCTTTTGTGCAAGTGCCATCTGGGCTTTATTTTGTGGCCATTTCCTAGATCACTGTTTCATATTCAGCTTTCTCACATCACCATGGTGAATAAAAGCTCTGTGTAAATAGGAAGTGGCATGACATGATCCTTAAAAGTGTTTACATTCCTAAATGCAGATGGACTCAGGAGCAAATAAAAACTACATATTCTCAACTTATTGCATTACTAAACAAATATCTAAGTGCTGAGAAAGGCAAGACTTTCTTGCCTGTTTTCTCAAGCCATCCTGATGCCAGAATATGCTGGAAAGAGGATTAGGGGTTTTGTGAAGGAAACTCAACCCAGAGAAGAATTATGATAATCATCTACAGACTGCACAAGGAGCTATATCATTTTGGTGGTGTGGGTTTGTGTGCAGGAGGATTGGGAGATATCTATGAGTAAATCCTTGCATAGTGATTCTCAATTTGTGTGTGTGTGTGTGTGTGTGTGTATTTCCCCAGACAATATATTCCTACATGCATAGAAAAAAATTAACAAAAAACCCCCACAAAACAAACAAACAAAAACCATACCACTGCACACATTACATGAATCGATATACTCATTCAGTACTCACCATAGCAGAATCTGAGGTTTAGGTTTACATCCTTAAATAGAGATGATGCAGTGATGAATGACCCAGGTTCCTGACATTGTAAGAGAAAGAGGAAAATTTAAAGCCAGTCACTGGAGCCAGTGCTAATACTCTGGGCTACCGAACTTTTATCCATCACTCAGCCATAGAGGCCAGGGAGCCCTAGCACATGTGTATACCCCTGGGGGGAGTTACAGCTTTCAGATATTCCAAACACAGTCTATCATCATAAAGTGGCTTCAGTATTCACAAAACACTGGGTGGAGATGGGTACATTTAACAGCAGACATTGCTATAGCGCTAAGTGTGAAGCACACATAGCCCACATGGTTCTGAGCCCCACATACCTCCCAGATACTGAGAGTTGAGAGGGAACTAGTGGGACAGTTAAGGGCAACATCTGCCAGGGCTGGAGTCCCTCCTCAGTCTCTTACTTGTAACAGAAAAGAATCAGGGATATATCTATTATATTTAATAATATGCTCACCACACAACACACATACAAGGGACACTGACAAATAAGAACTCAAAGTATATCTTAGCTGTTAGCCCGGTGTCTATGACTCTTGCATTGTGTCCATGACTCTTGCTCAGCTGGGTTAAAGTGCTAGCACTCACCACATACTATGAACTGTTCCACTGTCAGGTGGCTAGTGAGAGTATGGTCAGCTACTAACACAATGGATATACATGTATTGTACAGAAAAAGACAATAGGAGGAAAAATATAATTAGTAGTATTTATAAATAGTGGGATTTCAATAATTTCAAATCTTTCTTCATAAATTATAAAAATGATCAGTTAACAATATATTCTACATCAAGTAAATGCTTTTGAACAGTTCAAAAGCAGCAGCATTGGGGCTCAGTGGTAGAACACTTACCTAGCATGTGTGAGGCACTGGGTTCAATTCTCAGCACCACATATGAATAAATAAAATAAAGGTCCATCAACAAATAAAAAAATATTAAAAAAAAAAGAAGCACCATCAATATACTAACAGTTACTCTGTGTCCTCCTAGTTTCTTCTGAGGACTTATTGTAGTCACTTGCAAGTAACAGCAATGACAGGGAGAACCCACTGAATGTCCTGGTAAGGTCATTTGACTTCATCTGAGATAGAAGTGCTGCCTTCTTGTTTTTTTTCTACATCAACTAAATTAATATATGAAAAAAAAAATCTTATTTGTTCATGTTTTAATAACATGGCAATAAGAGGGTTTGTGTCTACAGGATTTCAATGTCCTTTATTTGTAACTATCTTTTATTCTTTGATAAAGGAAACCAGTCTCAGAAGATTGTTTTTCCTGCCTTTGCCAAAGTACATATCAAAGGTCTGGGATTTGATTGATCATACCCTCAATAAGAAATAGGAATTTATTTTTCACAGATCATCAGGCTGGAGTATCTAAGATCAAGGCACCAACATTTGGTATGGTGAGGGCATCAGGCCGAGTTTGCACAAAGCAGAAGGGATATAAGATGGGATAATACTTTTTTCTCCCAAATATTTTAGTTGTAGATGGACACAATATCTTTATTTATTTTTATGTGGTGCTGAGGATCGAACCCTGTGCCTCACATGTGTGAGGCAAGCACAAGGAGCTACAGCCCCAGCCCAAGATAGTACTCTATCATAGGAACAACTTTGAACCTGTGTCTGGTTGTGGGTGTTGACAGGTTGACACACACCCTCTTTACTTTTAGGACTTTTTTTTTGTTGTCCTTATTCTCAAATTCCTGGATTATAGTGCATTGGCAAGCTGGGATGGGGTGGTTCAAGAATACTGCCTCTGGGATTAATGTGTGCTCAAGCATCCTACAGAAGGGAGGCAGAAGTTTAATCTGAACTCATGTCAGCTTCCACATCTCACCCAAGGCTGATTATTTCAATGTGCTATTTGTGAGGCCTGTATCCAGCTGCCCCATGAGCCCTTCCATGTCCAGAAAGGAATGCTAGATGATATGTGGGAAGGGGCTATTCCAACCAAACAGTGCTGATCTATTTCTGCACTCCAGTGCCTGTGTACTGTTCCCTTTATTCAGACCTACCAGCAGGCCTCTCTGGTCAGTACTCTGGCCAGTCCATCCAATTGTCTGTGAAAACTCCAGTAGATGCCATTTACTTATGTGACTTTCACTCCTTGTCTCACTCGTTGCATCTCTTATAGACTAATGGGATTTAGACAGGTCATGGTACTTCTAAATTTGTGTTTGCCATCTCTAATGTTTTAGGAAATATATGGGGTTAGCACAAAGAATATTTCCCAAATACCTAAGGCTATCACAGGTATAAAACAGTCATGTATATGTGGAGTTGGTTGTCCTTATCTACCACAGAATCCAAGACAGTCTCAAACCCATGGAACTCACTCCCAATGTAGGAAAGGATTCATTGATTTCTTGGGAGTGGATGGAGTCCATCTTTATATTTGTGCTTATGTTTTTATACTGGAGAACACTATGATGGGTAGAGATTGAGAAAGCAAAAGTAAATGACATGACAGAAGAGAATAAGAGCAGGCAACAAAGGAAGGGAAGAGGGAAAGGAGTCAGTGTTGTATTCAGAACATCATGGGAATACTGATTGCCTCTAGGAAGAAGAGGATGACAGAGGCACCTGGCTGCAGTTACAGAATCTGAGGGCTGGGAAATGTAGAAGATCAGGAACCCACTTCCTCATTGCAGAGTTACAATCCAGGCCTTGGAGAGGAGTAGAGAGATGAGAGTCCTGAGATTGGGTGACAGAGTACTCAGCAGTAGCCAGTCCCTACTTCAGCTTTAACTCTCTCCTTTCCTTTCCCATGGCCACCTTATCACTACCACCATTCCTATGCACTCAGAAGATTCTCTTCAGTTTTCCAGAAGATTTAGAGAACACAGATACAAAGTGCATGTAATTCACTTTCTCTCACAACTCTTCTCTGTCCTCTGCCATTTTATTCATGAGCTCCTGTTTTTAGATCTTCTTTTTTCCCACTTTTGGTAGTTAATGAACAAGCTGATTTCACCTAGGCAGTTCATTCAGTCACTTTCCTATGGATAGGTTCTGAGAAATCTGTCCTTGTGTGATCACTTCACCCTGTGAGGGTTCACTGTTGCCTATGCAGTGCTTCATTGACCCACACAACATCTGGGGGCACATGACTACAGTCAACCCCTTAATGTCTATAAAATTTCACTGCTTTCCCTCTCCTTTATTATCATCGTCCTAGTTTCCCACCCACAGGCTACAATAATGAATTATACTGAGCAACCCTGTATAGCGAACCAGCAGCTGGGCTGGAGACAGAAGAGCTGGAACCCATGCTCCTGGAATGAAATGGGAAGAAGTCTGGTCTTCTCTGTGTAACACAAACATGTTCTTATTCTGGGTAGCTCCAGACACCAGTTTTGTCTTCCTTCCAAATGTCACAAACATCTCTTTTTCTGGAGTAACTGAAAGCAGCCAGGACTTTGGGGTTTTGAAGAGGAAAAGAAACAATGAGAGTATGGAGGGAGTATATGGAGGGTGAATCAGATAAGTACACATCTTCTCTGCTCCTTGCCTACATTTTCTGTTTGGTACATCGAGAAAACCAAGGAGAACACTGCACTGGTAGCTGATGTGTGTGTAAGCATGCAAGTGGAGAAGGAGAGTGGTAAAAATCCCTGTGTGCAAGTGAAGGAGGTACCAGGATATGCTCCGAGGGAATGGACACCATTGTATGACCTGCTTCTATTCCTGCCAGGCTGAGGCTCATATTGCTGCTTCAACTAGGAGAGGCTATAGCAGGTGGTAGGTCCAACATGCCCATGAATACAGAGGGTGCTACTCCATTTGTCCTTTGTGAAGATGCTACAAGTATTGTTCAAACTCTCATTCTTCAGGAAATACCTACTCTTGCTCAAATCAACAGGGATAATGGCTAGTGAATAACTAGTTGTGGGGAGACATTGCAAGGTGACCATGACTTCCATCCTTTTCAGGCATCCTGGGAAGAACGTGAGGTGGAGAGAGGGAGCCAGGATGCCTCTTGTACAAGAAGATAGTCTTACTAAGTGTCAGCAGGAAAGCAAATTGGGGCGTGGTGGGCTAACACTAGAATCTTCAAGATCAGCTGGGATTTGGTCAAGTCCTGGGAACCCTCAAACCATGTAGATCCCTGTTGGGGACTGGGGTCACCTAATGCCAATATTTCTCTTTTAAATGGAGATTCTCGGGAAGAGTTTTTTTTCTGTGATTTTTTTTTTTTTTTTTTTTTTGAATACACATTTCAAATTCAAACAAAACCAACACTACTAGGGAATGCACATACATGGGATAAAGGAGCTAGATTGCAAGTTTCTTACATTTGTTTTCTGATTTTGGATAACATATACATACCTGATTTCATAACACTTTAAAAAATACAATCTATTCTAAAATGATGAAATCCATATGGACTCACAGTCAATGGATTATTTCAATTAAAATGAACAGAGACAAATTTAATGGGAATGTACACCAGGAAAATCAAAAGAGCAACCAACAAATTGTCTATATTTAATATGTTGGTTTACATGATGGATTCTAGGGAGTTCAGGGATACAGGGGCAGGGCCGTTTCATTCTCAGAACCATTCCCCGATGTCACCAGAACTTCTGTGCCTCAGGGGTCCCAAGTGTGTGGGACTGGATCTTACAAAGTCAGAGTCAGAAACTCCCCTTTCTTTCCTTTGCATCAGGTTCACTGTTTAGATGACTGGCTCCTGAAGGTGCCCAAGTGAATATCTAGGTGAATTAGTTCCTAGAGGATATTCACAGACAACTTGTACCTACAGATAACACCCACAGCAGAAGGTAGAAGACAAGCTATGTACACTTTGGATGTGGGTACATAGGACCTGGGTGGTTATGGTCCAAAGTCACCATTCAGGGCCTAAGGAACCCTGTGCTCTGAACACACTTCACAGCCTGTGCCTACTCCCTTGTATCTCCCCAGTGAGCCACACCTGTTTGTGTTGCAGCTTTCTATTCCGACTCATTAGAGGAGAGTGACCTGCAATCTTGGGGATCAGAGGAGCTGGGGCT